TGCTAAGCCCAGTTGTTAGAATCTCAATCATTTCAATTGTTCTTTCACTATTTCCCATGTAATGATTCCTACATTGGTACTAACTCAAATATGTATTTCAGTATAGTCTGAGCAACCAAGTTATAGAACTGCTGAGGAAAACTGTACTAGTATGTTAGTCTCTGTTGACACCATTTGTCTTGTCACAGCCAACATGAATTGCACTGAAATGATGAAGAAAATAGGCTACATTTAGCTACTGATGAGAAATTAGCGCTGGAAAGATCTTTCCATAGACAAGGAACTTTAAATAAAGAATTAACCCTCTTATTGTTCCTCTCATTATTATTGCTGTTGCTTTGCTTGCAAAATCAAGCAGGGAAGTGAAATGACCTACACAAAGCCATTAGAACAGCACAAACACTAGCATTTAGAGCCTTTACTTCAGGTATATATATCTCTCATATATTTGAATAGCAATGGCTGTTTGTGTCTGCATGCAAGTGTACGTCAGAAAAATGAGAGGTCAGACAGTTTCAAGATAGAGTGTCACAACACCCTGTGACTGGGGACAGACTTGCAGGCACTGTGCAAGGTGTTTTGCAGAATGAGGATGTCTCTTTTTTCAGTGGCCACTGAGAGGAGCTCTGTCTCCATTAAGAGCTTGGAAAGTATGAATTAAAAAGCAAAGTGGTGCTCCTTAGTAGTGGATACACACCAAAAATTGTTTTGCTGTTATCTGTCCTGCTTTAATTATATGTTAAGAATATATCCTTAGAAATTATCTCAGTAGAACAGTAATCTCCTTCTCAAAGGAAATGTGTTGCCTACAAAATGTGTAGGGTGGGATTAATCTCATCTAACCATTGGCATTTGAAAGCCATGTGCCGGGTGTAACACACTCTAAATTCCATAGTCAATAAAATGAAAAAGGGGGAATGCATTGTGCCTTAAAGACAATTCATCTACCTTAAACAAAGATAGGAAAAGGACAGAAAAAGTCACTCTCTGAAGTTGGCTGTCTCTATTGAAGGGACTTCAATGATTAATTCAGACTACCCACCTCCCTTCTATATGGCTAAATTTGGCATAGTGTTCATTTCCCCCTCTACCTGCTTGCTTACTCTTGACTTTCAAACATTCTTCATGGAATTGAAATGTCCTCGCCAGCTACTAAACACAGCCGCCCTCTCTCTCTCTAACCATCACATTCTTTGTCTTCCATCTTTACTTACCCATGTTTCACGCTGATACCACCACCAGTTCCTGTTACCCAGCCTAAACCATAAAACAGTCTACAAAGCTCTGGGATAAGATTTCTTGGATGTAATTTCTCCTAAAAATAAATTAAAGAAATAAATTACAACCCATCAGAAGCAACATAAACCTTAGAATTTCAATGTTGAAACTGAATTTAAAGGGGTAGAACAGCAGTATGACAGTCTAATTTATGCTTATGAACTGTTACAAAATGTTTGCACAATGTCCTGTACATTTTGCAGGGGCCATTTGCACCTTGAAATGAACAGACAAAACCCCCAAATAAAATGCATGTCTTCCTTCACAGGAAAGGTCTCATCTCAAATTTATTCAGGTGCAGTGGCCCACAGATATTACACCAGCAAGATTAAGTCATAGACTATTGCCACAAAAAAAGAAAAATAAATGCATCTAACATTATCCATTTTGAAAAGCTCAACTAGTAACTTTTCCCATTGAATCAGCTTCTGTAGGTTTATTTTGCTTCATTTACAAATTTCAGTAAAACAGACTTTATTAGTTCTGTTATATAATATTTTTATATAGCAGTCAAAAATACCATAGAGGACATAGGAAAATTATTTTATGAACTTCACATTCCTACACTTTCACAATGTGAGGTTACTTCACAAGTAATTTAGCCAGAAGGCAAATTGCATTATTTTAATATTTCTTTCAGAAGGAAAAAAAGTTCTTAAATTTTTCCATATTCCATTGTTTATTATATCAATAAATATATCTGTATCTATCTATTAACCAAAGGTATCTGTAGTGTCAGAGATTTATTCATAGTTAATCTAAAACAGAATGGCATTACAATACAAGCCAAATCTATTTACTGGCAACCCTAAAGATTACTCTGCATTGAACATATAAAAGTGCTTAACATTAATAAATATTAAAATAATTAAACTTAATAGCATAGCACCATATTCTTCAATGGCACTTGTTTCTGAAGTGGTTATCTTTAAAGAACTGGGATTCAGTTCAGATGCTATTCCTCCCTGCTCTGATTTGATTTCTGTTATTCAATGTCTCTTTTAATATATTAAAAAATCATCTGTTCATTCATTTCAAGTGATGGAAACAAGACTGTAACCAGCACTCCTAGAAACTTATGTAAGAAGTTAAGATTTTTAAAGCACCATGAACTTTCATCAGTTCACATTATCTTAAGTAAATAGAACAGCATATACAAGAGCAGATGAAGGAGAAAGACCCCAGCCCAAATAAGCAAACTTCGACATTTACAGTGAAAAAAATCTGAAATCTTCCTCATTCACACAGCTGAAAATGAAACCACTCCTTTCCAATTCTCTGCCACTGAAAAGCGTAATGTACATCAAGTATACTGTGACTAAACATTCCTCAAATACTAGTGACTCTGAAATGTACTGTGAATCTGAAAACATTCATGCATGTGTCATATGTTTATAAATAAAAACCAAGCACGTAGTATGTGTAAATTATGGGTCCCTGTTTTGTTGTTCTGATTTATTTATACAGAATTAACAGCTGTACATAACTTTTATCTATTCACCTGTCACAAAACTGAGTCCCACAGTATCTTGTTTTGACTCTTATTCAAAGTGACCTCCCTGTGTATTTCTAACCTATGTACTATACCAGTATTTTTCATTTGAAAGAAAAATTATGCCTCTTCTACTTTTGATGGAATAAGCTTACATTAAACAGTTTTATATTGCTATTATTTATTGAATGTACACAGCCATAAAAAACTAGATTAGAAAATATGAAACAACTGTAGGAGTGTTACGTTTGATGAATCTAGATATTTACTGCAAAATTCATATTCATGGGAGAACATGAGTGCTTCTGACCACTTTAAATCACCAAAAAGAATTTTTTAAAGTTCAAATTCAGAAGCTACTTTCATCAAGAACATATGAAAACAAATATAATCAAGGAATTTTAACTATTTTTTGAAGAATTACAGCATTACAACTCAATCCTCAGAGTTTAACAGTATTTTTCTAGGATCAGTGGATACTGATTATAACCATAAACTATCTGAACAAAAATATTACTGTAATTCATGTTTAAAATTACCAATAATAAAAATGACAGTTCTTTCCATAAATAAAAAAGGGTACTTGCTGTAATAAGCTTGTGAGTGAAAGCAGCAGGCAATTCAACATAATTACTCTTTGTCAAATCTCAATTAGCCGTACTTTTAAATTCGACTCTTAAGTTGAAGTACAGATGCCATTGGTTATCCCTTCCTTCATATTTCCAGCTCACGATCTGGCCCACTAGTTGTCTGATATAGCTAACCTAAACAATTTCGTTTCTTTGCTGCTCCACTGTTACCATCTTAGCTTAAGTTTCTACATGCTGTTATATATGAGAGAAAACTCCACAAATTTCCACGAACTAAAAGAAGTGACTAATTTTTCAATCCATTAAATTATTGTTTTGAAAACAAATTTGCTGGTAAATTTCTAAACAGAAAGTGACTGAAAGTATTCACTGAAAACTTATTTCCAGCAGTCAAATCTTTTCAAAAAATTATTACTGAAAGACTGTGGTTGCTCAAGAAAAATTGGCTTTTTCCTATTTTATTCAACTGTACCTAATATGATTTAAAAAACAAAACAAACCAAACCTGCCTTCCCAACCCAAAAACCCAGAAAACAGTGTGGATCTAACATAATGGAAATCAAGGTGGATCCCAGCTATTTGTGGAACAAAAACATTTGTAAAGGTTTTGGGGATATTTTTCAAAAGGAGTAAAACTGAACTATAATGTGGATATTTTAAGATATTATAGTAAATAAACAGTGCCTGAACTATGCATCTCCCTTTCATAAATTGCTTAGAAATAATATACTTTCCTCAGAAATAAGCACAGACTGCGTAGATTAAATCATACCATTGATATTTCATACTGACAGGTAGTAAATCATGATGAGGTTTCTTTGAATAGCCACGTAGTGATTAAGTTCGATGTGGTAAAACAGATTTGCGCTACACCGTATACATACAGTGGGAAAAGTACCATCAATAAGCCTGTAGATTTCTGTTTAAAATCTGTCTTTAGCATAGAAATGGATAAAATATACCAAAGTAGCAAAAATAACGTCATGACCCTTTCAAAACGTTTATTTTCTACACTACCTTCAGTACCATATAAGGATTCAAAGTATCATATAAGGATGCAAAAGGGAGTTTTTTAGGTGCAAAAAAAAATAATTGTAAAGGATAGGAAAGCAACGTGGTAAGGATTCCTACTCTGCTCAAAAGCCTCTGATACTGAAAAGTCAGCAAGAAACCCTCTAAGACTTAGTTTGAAGTTTTAGAAGGCAAGCATTCTTTATTGCAGCGCTGGGCAGCACTGGGGATAGCTCCACCATGAGTGCTCCAACGGGTTAGTAAAGAACATCAGTTCATATACAGAAAAATCATACATATTTATCAGATTTCCTGGAAAGGGCAGTCTTATGGTGATGAGTTCCCAGAATTCATTTACAGAGTCCAAGCATGCACAGTAAAATTAGGATTAGGGTCTTTTCACCCTCAGGTGGTCGTCCATAGTCTTCCTCACACTGTCCGCTAGTTGAACTTTGGGCTTCCTTTGTCCATATATAGTCATTGAATTAGTTAATCAGTCTTTCGGCCTCAGAACAGTACAAGGAGGTCAATTTAAACTAGTTCTTTGGTGCTTTATCTCGGCCCAAAGGTCCTGAGCTCCTGTTATCAGGAAGCCTAACGAGTTTGCTCAAGGTCAGTTGAATCTTGTCAGGCAAGAAGTTTTATGTTTAAGGTCTTAGCCAGTGATTGTCAGGTATTCAACGCTTTCACCTCAACCTGTCAATTTTTATAGCAAGTACAGACCTCCAACTGAAATCATCATTTATGGTGCACCTTTTTTATATTTTGTTTTTTGTTGCAGCAATTAGAAGCTTTATAAAAAAAAAAGGGTAAGTGATGAGCAGCTCTACTGCTCTGTCATGACAAGACATTTCCAAGAGAAACATTTGTTTAGCAGCAGGAACCCACATTACGGGGCTATTCTGTTAACAACCACAGAATAAAAAGAACAAAAGCAAAAAGTAAGTAGCACATACCAAAACTGGTAGGCAGGTAGTTACTTAGTACCAATGCCTTTGCTGAAACATTAAGAAAAAGTACTGTTGTCACTGTTCTCTCCACCCAACCCAGTACCACAGTGACTCTAAAGTTGAAGACTGAGTGATCCTTGACGGTCTAAAGTAAGACTGCAAGACTTAAGCAAAGAGGAACTGCGATTTTGTGAGCCCCTCAAGATTGTCTCTTGGCCCTTAGAATCACAGCAAACAGACTTTGCTTAACGCAGCCCCTTTGAACAGACAGACCCCTTGCACCTTGTTGCAGTTGCTACAGGGCTGTGTGGCTGCATGCCACAGAATAACGCTTCCAGTTGGACTTGCAGAACCAGGTGTGGAGAGGCAGTGGCAGGGAGAAGCTGGCACGGATGCAAGACAGCCACCGTGGTTCTGAAAGAGTGAAGGTGAAGTGATGGAGACAGAAGCCGGGGGCAAGTTTCACAAGTTTTGGAAACTCCTACTTTAACCTCATCTTTAAAACGTCCAGTGACAGTGAGTCACAAACTCCTCTGGCAATGTTTAACTGTCCCAGCTTAGAAATATTTTCCTAATGCCTAACCTAAACCTTGCTTACTGAAACTTAAGCTTGTTGTCTCTTACCAAACAGTTAGGACATAAAGAATATGTTACAGAGATGAAAAGGAAGAACAACATTTACATATTACAAACAATTTTACATATTAGGACAACAATTCCATTTGCTCCTCTTTTTTTTCTTGTTGTGTTTTTTTGTTTGTTTGTTTTTTTGGTTTTTGTTTTTGACTAAGCCAATTCTTTCCCTCTTTGCTGACAGGCCACATTATCTAGGCTGACCCATCTCCCAGCTGCCAGTTCACACTGTTCTTGATGCTTGGGCTGGTCTCTTGAAAAGTTCCACATACAAACAGAGGACAGGTATTTCAAGCCTCATCCAGGTAATGCTCCCATACGCTTTAGCATGCTGTTTGCTTTGTTTGATGAAGCACAGCACTGCCAACTCATGTTCAGGTTTTGATGACTTACAGTAATGAACAGTTACCAAACTACAAAAAACTGCAAAGAAATCAAACACAGAAAAAAACTCAAAACAAACATTAAAAAAACCCCAGAGTTACCATAAATAAATAAAAAGGGCCAAAAGTCCTGTAACTGCAGCCAGACTATCATCTAGCAACATTTCTGGAAGTGTAGTAAATTTCATAACATCTTTATATTCACTGCTAATTGGTAACTACTAGCTAATTACTAACGTTACAAAAATAGTCTCAACCACTGCAATTGCGAACTGCTATACTGGAGCACCCGCTGACGCAATGTGCCCCTAGCCAGGCGGCGGGCAGAGCACCGGGCCGCCAGCAGCATCAGGGGTGGTGCAAGCGACCACGACAAGGCCCGGGCACGCCAACAGGGCGGCTACCGGCTCGCTGTTCCTCCCAGCCGGAGAACAAGACCCTGTGCGCCGGACCCCGCCTGCAGGCAGGGGGTGGCCAACCCCACATCGCGCGCCGCCGAACTGCTTAAAGGGGACACTGCAGCGAAAAGCGTCCGCGCCGCTGCCGAGTTCTGAACTTCTTTAAAGCCCACGCATCCTTAGGGGCAAGTGCCGCGTGTGGGGCCTGCGCGTGGCCTCTTGTTACCTGCGCCGCGTCGCG